AAAAAAAAAAAAAAAAGATGTTTCTTTGTCGCTCTTCTTTAATTTTTACCTCTTTTTCTGTTTTTAGACGAAGTGTTTTGCGGGGAGAAAAACGGTGAAAGATAGTAACATAAAAAAATAAATCAATCTAATGATTTAAAGACATATCTCGCGGTACGAAAAAAATATTTTAAGAAAAAAATACGAAAAAAACGAAAAAAAAAAGAAGGAAAGAAAGAAACAGACATTTGTTTTGAACAGACATAAAAAGTAAGATGTTGAATATAATTTAGATGATAACATACCATATGAAAGGGAAGCCGCCTGCGCAAATCTGCTCAATTCAAAGACTGTCACCGTGCAATAAACACTCATAAATACTTCATCTGTTCATAAAGAAGCATGGAATTTTACACTCACCCCTTCACCAATCGGTCTCAAAACAATATTAGTCTTCTTTTTTTTTTTCTGTAATGATTACCTACCTAAGACATATACTAGAAGACAGTCTATTTTCGTTTTCACCATTACTGGCTTTGTTTGTTCTAGTAAAAAAAAAAGGAAGAAATTTTTAGCACTGAAAAGTCTTTCACCCATAATTTACATTTGGCACAAAAAACTGAAATAACACACCAACAATAGCAAAAAAAGCTAATCAGCATTTAAATTGTACATTAATTTATGATGAAACCAGTTAGTAGTTTTAATTATTTTGACTAAAACAGAACTTTAACAATTTTCTACAGCTTTCTTTGAAAGCAATTGTAATAGACTTATTTTGTTCCTTAATGGATAACAAAACAGTGATGCATTATAGATTCATAGCAGATATATGACTGTCGATAAGAAAAAAAATTATCTAATTCTACTAAATATTTAATATCACTTAGCCCATAAGTTTCCTAAGAGTTTTTTGCAAGTCTTAAAAAAAATTGCTAATAATTAGGTTTTTTTTAGAAACAATAAAATTTGAAAAGAACAAATATTAGAAAAGTAGAGAGCTTCAATTTTTTTTTTTTTTAGTCATTTCTTATGGCTCAAGATTTATTCTTGAAGAATATTTTTTGCGGTTTTTTGTATACAAAATATAGAGTATTGTAAAGTAAACTACAGGTAAACACTATCAATTATCTACACTTTTTCTATTACCCTAATAAATTTGACATTGATAAGAGTAAAAAACTTTATTTTTTAATGGTTATTAGTAAACTGAAATAAATCAGAATACATTAAAGTCATATTTGTTATTTGCAGCTTTTTTTTTTTTCGTTAAGAAAAATTCGCTTCCTAAATAGACTCTTTTCAGTTGTACATCAAATTTAAAATTCTTTTCAGAATAGCAAAAAAGCTTGAAAAAAAAAACAGAAGTTTTGCAATTGTCGCCAAAGGTCACATTCAGTTGTTCAACTATTTCGACAACGATGGGTGTTATAGGCAATGTATAAGAATCTTTTGCTCTGCTTTCTTCCAGAGGTTTCACTGTGCCAACAATACTGGATTTTTGGCAAATCTGTTGAATCATCAAAATGTCTCAGCTGTTGAAGAACTTTGGTGACACCCCTTATGTGTGTGTCGACTGCGAAAAAACAAAAAAAATTAGAAGAAAAGTTAAGCCATGTTTAAGGTACCCCCAACAAATCACCTTCAGTCTTAAATGACAAAAAAAAAGCTTTTTGAAGTTTTATACTCAAAATTGAAGCAGCGTAATATAATACTTATAGATTAGCAAAATTTTTTATCAGGTTTTTTATTCAGACAAAATTAGACAAACAGAAGAAGTAGAAAAAGTACTAAGTAACTATAATAATAATAAAAAAAAATTTATTGTTTTTTTTTTGCTTTAATAAAAATGAACAAATGATAAAAATTTCTTGTAGCTTTTAATTTCGGAAATGTGCTGCTAATGCTTATATAGTTTTTTTT